AGGCCTGTGCTCCAGACCCCTCACCAGCTTTGTTACCCTTCTCTGGACACAAGTCAGGGCCTCAATGTCTTTCTTGTAGCAAACGGTTCAAAACTGAACGCAGTACTTCAGGTGGGGCCTCACCAGTGCTGAGTACATAGGGAAGATCACTTCCCTGCTCCTGCTGACAACACTATTTCTGATACAAACCAGGATGCCATTGGTCTTCTTAGCCATTTGGGCACATTGCTGGCTCATGTTCAGCTGAGTGTCGACCAACACCCCCAGGTCCCCTATACAACTTTCAAGCCACTCTGCCCCAAGCCTGTAGTGTTGCCTTGGGTTGTTGTGGCCAAAGTGCAGGATCCAGCACTTGGTCTTGTTGAACTTCATCCCATTCGTCATGGTTTTATGATGGTTGGTTATCGGTATTCCACACTGTAACATCATGTAGTGCACTGGGAGTTAAAGAGTTAATGCCCCAGGTCTGGGTACCTGTCATGGAAGAGAAGAACTACTACATTCCCCAGAGGACTGTTTGCTGTTCTGTTATCATTTCCGCTCACAGGGAACAGATAAAAGGCTTTCGTAGGTCATTTCCCCTCCCTCTTTCCTGGTTTCAGCAGCATGTGAGTTCTCCTCCCTTCTACTTATCCCAACCATGCATCTCATCTTAGTATCAGAGTAAGGCCTTCAGCTTTCAGACGCTACCTCTCATTATATATGATTTATTAGCTTCAATTCTAATTGTATTGTATTATATTGTATTATAGGGTGTTATCTTGCATTCTGTTATCTTATTTAGTAAATTACTTTGTTTCTCCTCAGATTGTTGCCACTGTTATCTTTTGGGGCCCATCTCTCTTTTTCCTTTTATTTTCCCTTTTCCACGGTGTGGATCCACAGGTCCCCTCCACCCTGCTAGTCATGGAACTGGGCCAAACCAGCCCAAACGCCGTACACCATTGGTCTCAGCCCAGGAATCCAGCCTGTCCAGCCTCTGCAGGGCCTCGCTACCCCCAGGCAGATCAACACTTCTGCCAGCTTGGTGTCATCTGCAAACTTACTGAGTGTGCACTCCATGTCCTCATCCAGGTCATCAACAGAGATACTGACAGAACAGGCCCCAGCACCGACCCCTGAGGAGCACCACTCCTAACCGGTCGCCAGCTGGATTTAATTCCGTTCACCACCACTCTCTTGGCCCGGCCATCCAGCCAGGTCTTTACCCAGCCAAGAGTGCACCTGTCCAAGGCACGGGCTGCCAGCTTCTGCAGGAGAATGCTTTTGCTTTGCTTGCTTTGCTTTTTGGTCAAAAGCTTTGCTGAAACATAGGTAGACCACATCAACAGCCTTCCCCTCAACAGTTGCAGAGTGTTTCCATGGTGGTATAACGTCTGACAGTCAGTTCATGCAGTGAATGGTAAACATCGTTTTTTCAAAAGCTAATTAGAGGTGCAGATTTGTTTTTTATTGCCCTCTCTCAGCTTATTCAGCTTGAGAGCTTAGGAACGGCTGAGCTCATCAAAAGTGATGAGACAAATGATCATTGTTTCATGCAATAGAAACTTGGAGAAAGGAAAAGAATTGGAAAAGAAAAGAATTAAAAAGTGTGAGGCATCTGACGTTATTATTAAGGTAACTGTTAACCAATTGCTTTAACCCCCATGCCTTGGGCTTATCCGGGGCCCCCAATAAATTGCCTGTCATCCTATATTGGTCTTTGAAAACAAAAGCTCTTTTAAGCATCAGCAGAGTACTGAGATCATTCCATCCCTAGGTCAGTGACTCTTGATTTCCAGCCTAGGGCTTCATCTCATCAGTGTCCTCTGAAGCAATGCCCTGCCTCTAGTTTTTAGTAACTAAATGGAAACATATAGGAAACTGGGAGCACAGAAGGTGGGGGGTAGGAGGGCAAGGAGACACAGAAAATGGGAGGAACCAAAACTCTTTTGTCTATAATGTGATCTCAGCTGCCCCAACTTACTCATGGCAAGGTCTTTTAAGCACAGCTAGGCTTTCTGCTGAACACATCATCAAAGCACCTGAGCAGTAACACCTTCAACACAAATGCACACAGAGAACTGTTCGCATGCAGTCTTCGTCAGATTCTCTTACAGTGCCCACATAATCCATGTTTTTGTTTTATCTGTGGACTGTGTCTACATCATAGCTCAGGAAGGGGCTTCCCTCAGAAATGAGTGATGAAAACAGATCACTGCAGACAAAGTCTGCCTTAGCAAGAATTCTTCCTCCTAAGAGAAGTACTAAACCAAGTTATTTCTTGATCTTACAGGTTAAGACATAGGGAGGAATAAAGTATAATTGGTCATTCCCACCCTTACCTTTGTAGAAAAAGAAGGGCAAAACCAACAAAACTGGAAGGTAACAAATACAGAATGTCAGGAGAGAAACAGTTACCGCTGCCTGATCTTACGAGGTGCAAATAAAAGCCACTGTAAGACCAAAAGTTTGACAGCTGATCTTTTTTAACTTATTTTGAATTATTTCAGAAGGCAGAGAGGAGGGACAAGAACAAAACACAACCAGTGATCAAGCCTTAACGCTCTGGGATGTGGTTCAGAGCGAGGTATTTCCAAAAGGTCTGCTAAAAAGTAAGCTCTCTCCTATCAGTTACCACAAGAAGCATCTCTGTGCACAGAGTTCACATGGAAAGGTGATGGCAGCAGAGGGACCTCATTGGGGCCTCCTGTGACAAGAGATATGGTGCTGCCCTATGCAGGACAGGGGCCTCTCTCCTTCTCCTCCAGCTCCCAGTGCCCCTGCATGGCCAGAATGCCTGTGCTGCTCCCAGGTAAGCACTGGCAGTAGATGAGGGCATGCACTCGGCACTGATGACAGTGCTTGGCTGGATCGTGGTTTTGAACCTCACAAACATCCCAGAGACCATTTTGGCCAAGCCTTTTGATGAAATCCTTAGCCTCAGTGACATTGCAGATGTGTCCCTCTAGGCAACAGCATCTCTTCTGCCAGATCCAGTTCCTAAGCCAGAGGGCAATGCCACAGGTGTGGCTGTGGGAAATGGCTACCCACCTTCCTGGCTGGATTCTGGTGCTGTCCCAAAGGGAGACTGCCTGGATGTGCTCATAGGATGGGTTTTTCCAGCCTCCAGTGGCTCCCTGTATTAGAGCCCAGCTGGCCAAAGTGCAAAAGCTGATGATGATGGAGAGCTGTGGAAGTACAATATCCCAGTGTCTGTGGTGACATCAGGTACGCTACTATCTGGGTTGTGGTGCTTTGCATAGTGAGCCAGAGAGAAGAGCAAGCACCAGGACAAGCCAATACTGAATCATTTCCAGAGGTTTGCACACTCCCTGGTCAGACTGGGATTTCAGAGCCAAAGTTGGCTTCCCTCTCTCCTCCAAGGAGGGCCTTCAGTTAGTACTTCCTATCCACAGAAGACATCAAACTTAGCCAGTAGGGTGCACAGTGAGTTCAGAAATCACATCAACCTCGCAGTGTTTGAGGCACAAAGGACAGACCAGGTGAATGTACCTAACACTGGCAGCACGGGCGGGATTGGACTTTTCAGAACCAGGGGAAGACAGCCTGAACTGTGGGAGGGCCCTTTCCCACAGCAACCAGTTTACGGTCAGCCATGCACCATGGCTGCAGAAAGAGGTAGTTCTCCTTCAAAATTCTCCTTCCAAGCTCAGCAGACTTCCTTGGGGCCACTATATGTTGGCTGAGTGAGTGGGAGTTGGGGAGAGCAGAAAGGTAAAATGCATAGGAAGCACTGAATTGAAGGAAATTGCATGATATCAGCATGCACCACTGCTTTTAACCAGTGCGGTGGTTTAAGTCCTCGCTGCCTACCTGCTATTGACCACAAAGACCAATAGGAGACTTTGTGCTGTAGTCCACATCTGCCCTTCGAGCTACCCACAGAAGAGCTACAGTGACTGATGGGACAGGCATGGGGACCATGTGAAGAGTGAATGGTGATTTCCCAGGAAGGGGCACAGAGCAGTGATGGGCTCACAGCCAGAAGTGGAAGGGAAAACAAAAAAAAACAAAACAGCAAAACTGCTCTCCTTCTACTCCAGGTGGTGGTGGATCCAGGTACAACAAGTCCAGCTTCCTTTAGTCAGCCTTCCCCCTGTTTTCTGAGCACTGCTGCTTTCTTCCTCCACTTTTTCTTATGTGGGCTTGAGACTTGCCTCAGTGTGCACCATGGTGCACCCTACATACACCCTGCCCCACAGAGATGCAGTCCTAACCCAGGTTTTCCAGCAGTTCCAGTAAGCACTCTGCGATCCGATTACTCTTTGAAGGAGCAGAGGAGCTTCCATTACTACTGCCCTGGAAGCAATCTGAAGAGGATATCAAGAGCAGGTGCCAGACAGGGCTGTAAGAGGATTACAAGCAGGTGGAAACAACGCAGCTTATCCCACTGGCTTAGATGCTCAGCCCTCCAAGGTCAGTGAGGTGGTACAGCAGAGGTACAGATGGGAGGACAGCAGTGGCGCACAGCTGTCCCGGCTGGCTTCCTGCCGCTGGCTCCCGGGTAGTGACATCCACATCCAGGCAGTGACAACCACTTCAAGCTACGGGCCAGCTTTACCCTCTCGCGTTACGGCACTCGGATGCCTACGGAGCCAGCCGTCGGTCACCCGCAGCCTAGGACCTTCTCAGACTGGACTTCAGCCGGAGACAGGTGCCACACATTCCCGTTAGGAATGCAGTCCTGTAGCCCCGAGCGGAACCCACGCGCATCGTTCCGCTCTAGAGGAGTACCGAACAGGTTGCTCTTCCCCCGCCTTGCAGTCCTTCCTCCGCAGCCATCCCCGGCAGCGATGCGCCGACAGCCACCTTCCGCGCCCCCAGCGGGCACCGGAGCCGCCCCCCGGCCCGGCCCCGAGCATGCTCAGTGCCGCCCTGACCTACTTTCCCCTGCCGGAGCCGGCGGAGGAGTGGCGGTGCGGAGGACGGCGCTGCGGCACGGCGCCCCGTGACCGCGGACTGCGGCAGCGCCGCGCTCCGCCCGCCGGCCCGCGCGGCGCGCCCCGGGCCCGGCATGGTGCTGCGCGGGGCGCGCTGAGGGGCACGGCGGCGGGCGCTGCCGCGGAGCGGCCGGCGGGCAGGTGAGCGGGAGCGGCGCTTCGGCGAGGGGGGCGGCTCGGCGGGCGGCGCCACCTGCGCGGCCCTCTGCGCCTCGGCGAGGGGAGCCGCTGCGGGGCGGTGCGGTGCGGTGCGGGCAGGCGGCCACGGCGCTGGGGAAGGGAGCCGCCGCGGGGAGCGGGAGGTGCCGCGCTGGGAGCGCCGGACCGCCGCTCGGGAAGTAGTGCCGTATGGAGCGTGAAAGTTCAAGGGATGGATTCGCAGGGGGAGCGGGGCTGTCGGAAGGACGCGCGGCTTTAGGCAGGAAGACCTGGGATTTCTACCTTCCCGCTGCTCCCGGTGGGTCGATGCCCGCTCCGGGCAGGAGAAAGAAAGGGCGTTAGGAAATCCGCACGGGGACCTTTTTTACGGAGCTGGCCATTTCATAGAGCTGAAGTTTTGTTGCCTTACATTTAAAATAAAGGTGACCCCCTGCTTTTTCGCCATAATTACTTTTTCATTTCACAGCCTCATGAGATAGAAGTCAGTTTCCAAAGTGCCCTGCAGAAACTGCAGCCTGGCAGAAGTAGCCAAAGTCGAGCAGCAGCAGAAAAGCGGGCTTAGAGATCAGAGCGCAGCGCTGCTGAGCAGGCGATCGTCCGGTGCGTTTATCTGGGCGCCTGGTAGGAAAGCGTGCTTCCCAGCTGCCCTCTGAGAGCTGCTGGCGTGAAGCTTCCCCGCTCCAGAAACAGAAGTACCTGCGGGGTAGGCAGTGCCAAAAGCCACGTGCGACTTGGTTTGGTTTGGCTGAAGAGCAGTGAGGTTAGTTCACGGTGAGAAACAGAGGAGTTTACAGGGGAAAGTGGAGCGGTTGAGATGTTTGGAGCCGGTGCGTTATGGAACAGTTTCTCTCTTCGCTGCAGTAGGGCAGAATCTGGCAGATCTCCTTTCAGTGGAGGTGATGTTTGCATGGCAGACTCTTTTCTCTGGCTTAGTGTGTTCAGTTAGCAGCAGCACCATTGGAGTACTTGTGCCTGGTGCAGCAGGGATCCTTTTTTAGTAGAAAGGCTTCTAGTTCAGACTGCAGTATGCCAGTGTCCGTCAGTTAGAAGCACAATTCAGGCAGCATGAGCGCACACTGTATCTGTGCCATTTCTTCTGAAGAATTTGAAGCTTAAAGTCTGGACAGACAGCAGACAATCGACCAAGAAAAAGCTTGCTTTCCACTTCACTGTTTGGTGTTAGTCCAGCACAAGCAAGTTTCCCATTGTGAAAGCTTGTAGCTAACACAGACGTGTTAACATGTCACCAGAAGGCTGTGGTGTACGACCTAGCTCCTTAGTGCTCCCTGGGATATTTCTTCCTGCGGTTCTGAGCCGCTGCCTGGCCTTGGAGCTGTGCACCTTTGCAAAGCCCTCTGCTTAGCCTTAATTCTGTTATTTAGTTGTGCTGACTAAAGCGTTGGCATTCTTCATCCACGTACAGACCCACCTCAGAAGCAGCATTTCCAAGATAGTGGGTGTGCTTTTATTTTTTTCCCCAGTTACTATGATTAAAATAAATCATAACAGCATTTTAGAGCATCGGATCTTCTGTCTATCAGGATAGAGGTAGGAGGCAGACAAAACTTGTCCATGTTTGTATAGGTGCAGGACAGAGCAATTCTAAGAGGCATTGTGATTTTTACCTAGCTAACACAACATTAGACAGAGGACTGTCTCACTTCAGAGTCATTAACAGGAGCAGTGCTTGTCAGAAATCAGGAGCTCTGTATAGGCACATAATTCTCCTACTTTGGAAGGAGACCACAACACGTGGAGGGATTACATTAAGAACAGCCCTTCTCGGCAGGCTTAACATTTAATTAACACATTCTGCCACTCTTGCATGGTCTGCAGCCACAGATGATTTCTGCTGATGTTTTCAAGTCGCACGGGGACAGGGCATCTGTACTGCATTGCAACCACACTGCTGTGCGTGCAGTCCCCCCCACACACACACGATGTATGGCACACACATACCAGCACTGCTGCATTTTGATCAGTAGGTTCTGCTGTGGCTGGTGGCAGTGGTGTGATGTGGTACAGCAGCTCGTTCTGTTACATTTATAAACTCATTTCTGAATGATGTTGCTACAGTTAGTACATTATCTGATTGTGATCAACTTAACAAAAGATGCTTAGAAATTTGTTATTTTGATGTTACATTTTTTTAGCCCAGAGCAGATAAAATAGCACAGAAGTTATGGAGGTCATTCAGTAAACTCTTGATGAATTCTACCTAGAGTAATTCACAGCACTGGCCACATGAAGGAGTGGCCATACACTAGGAGAGGGTTGTATTGAATCACAGAATTACAGAAACACCAAGGTTGGAAAGGACCTTGAAGATCATCCAGTCCAACCATCCACCTATCACCAATAGTTGTCACTAGACCATGTCCCTCACCACAAAATCCAGCTGTTCCTTGAACACCTCCAGGGTTGGTGGCTGTACCAAGCTCCTTGGGCAGCCCATTCCAGTGCCTGACCACTCTTTCAGAGCAGTAGTATTTCCTAATGTCCAGCCTGAATCTCCCCTCCATTCCCTCCAGTCTTACTTACATTGATCACATTGGTGTACAAGCAAGGCTCAAGTTTCTGTCTGGTGTGAGGCAAACTCCTTTGAATATCACTTGCTGTTCCTTTCTGATACTTGTAGAGGAAATAGGCAGAGCACTTTTAATCTGAAGTGATCCTTTTCTGTTGCACTCAGCTGTGACTGGCTAGATTCCCTCTTTACAAGTTTAGCCTGTCTTAATCACAGCATCCACCTGTAACCTCTTTGCACTGAATCCCAGAAGCCAATACACGCTTAAGCCAGTCATTAAAAATGGGTAAATAAGCATCTTGCAGTTCTATGACGACACAGATGAATTAGTCATACTCTACACTGTTTTCTTCCTATTTTTCATTCTGCTTTATAAATGGGAGCCTTCTGTTAAAATACTGTTTCTAATGAAAACTGTATGCAGTGAATTGAAAACACTCGAAGCACATACGAAATGTAGAATTTAAAAAGTAGAGAAGTCTTGAGCCTTGCAAAGGGCTACATTCCCTACATTTAGACTTTTTATTCATCATGTGGAAAAAGGAAACAAGCAGACGTATCTAAAGGATGGTCAGTTTTGCCAGTTGAAGAGAAAGCAAACGGAAATGAATTGGACCCCATTCCACATTGCTGTGTTCCTAGCACTCAGAATAGATAAGCCATCCCAAGAGCACATGAGATCTGTTGTTTTAGCTGACCTTGGTTACTTAAGCTGTTAGTAGAATAATACCTGCAATGTGCTGGTATAAATAGAAGGTAAGAGGTGAGTAAAGAAAAGGGAAGATAACCCAAAACTTGGTGAGGCCAGGTAGTGTGCAGATGGGTGTGGAAGTGTGGGACAGATCTCTGCATCTTTTTGCTCCTTCTTTCTCAACAAAGGGAACTTCTAGGCATTGAACCATCTGCGTTTATTGCCAACAGTATAACAGCAGCTATGCTGAAAGCTTGCAGGGAGTTGAGCCTTTTAAAGCTGTACAGGTGTTTCTGGAATAAAAGCTTTGTATACAAAACAAGGTTGAGTAGGAATTATACAGCCTCCAAATAAATATAAATGCTAAGTAAATCTAAATCATCATCATGAAAGAGGCATTTACTTGGAAAATCCTGACAAGAGCTCGTACCTAATCAAATGTGAGCTGGGCTTTAAAAAGTCTCTGCTACTGATAGCATTCTATCTGCTCTAGGATCCAGGTAGCCCACAGCTCAGTAGAAAGACATTTCCATCGCAGTACTTGTGCTGATTTAAAAACAGCAAGCTTCTCCACTAAATACAAAACATTGTCTTTACTGCAGTCATTAAAATACCTCCAAGAGAAACAACAGAATTGCTCATTCCGTATAAATATGTGCACATGTACTACGTCTTATCTAATGAAAAGTTAAACGTCCAAGTTGCCTCAACAGTTGTGTTTTGTTTCAATTCGGCGTATTTCTTAACAAAAAAAGATTTGATCCTGGGATTACAGGCACTGCAACAACAGAAGGGAACTTTTCAGAGGTTTGGCATTCTTGAGGTACTTTTAAATAATCTCTCAGTAATTACCTAACAGTGGACTCTGTCTGTTCACTTTTAGGTTAACGGATTAGGGTCTTTGAGCATTTGTTGGAGCGAGGGGAACAGTCACCAGATCACTTAAAAACATGGCCAAATCAATGGAACCATTCAAGTGTTTAGAGTGAGGAGAGTTTAAATTCTCCAGGATTTCATATGCTGGCTAGTTTTGCAATACCAAGGCATGAAGTAGAACAAAGAGGAACGATAATGAGGAGAGCTTTACGGTAAAAATACTTACTTGCAATAGGACTTCTAAAATATTTACAGGCTTGTAAAGGCATAATCTGGAGGATATTTTTACCATCACTGAATAGAATGACGTATCCTTCCTTCCCTGCCCCGAGAGTCTGGATTTGCCTTGTAGGAAATGTTTGTAGGATATTTTTTATCACAAATATAGAACATGGGGTAACCACATCGCTGATTGCTTTCTTGCAATTAATTAATTGTATTAATTGTATGGTGCGTGATCTGCGGGAAACTACTGAGCACTCAGGCTTCCACAACCCTGAAATAAACAAGCTGCGTCTCTCCTGAGTGTGTGATGATTGACTTATTGCACGCCAGGCAATGAATGCACTTTTCAGACAACAACATGAGTAAGGTGTGATTGTGAAACGAGAGGTGTGTCTCTCTGGTAGGAGAGGGCTTATCGAAGTCTGGTAAAGACACGATCACACTTGGTTGAATGTCTGATCATAGAATCTGTACGTTCTATCTGAAAATCCACAGGTGATGTGTTTATGTTGACTGACAATGGAGTCGCAAACATCAATTGTTCATTTTTTTCAGCAATCTTGAAACCCATTCTCAAATTCCTGTATCGAAACACAGTGCAAGATGCACATTTATTGCTCTGTGTTTAGCCAAGGTATTAAAAATGCGCACAATTATTTGCCA